TCTGGTAATAGGTACAATAGAAATTATATTTATAACTAAAAAATCCCTAAACATTTTGTGACCGGCACGATTAAAGTCAGATGCGTGTCACGTTAGTAACTTTTACAAAAGCAAGATTCGTTGAACACAATTAATCAAGTAAGATTATTAATTTCCTTAATTTGTATTGCCTTCAATTTAATTATCGATAGTGATATAAATATAAATATATATATGTATATATATAAATATACATAAAAAAAAGAACAAAACCAAAACGTCAGGATGAAATTTAACAATACTAATTATTTGTTCGCTTAAAATATGTCAATGCTTCCGCAAAATATAGTTTCCGAATGTAAAATAATTAAAAGAAAGAAAGAAATCAGAGCAAATATAACGGTATTAATTGTAAATAATTTCGAATTACCAATTGTCAATTCATTTTCTTGATTTTTTCCTAATATGACTTCTATAATTTCATATTCTGACTCTGATACTGATTTTTCATCGCTTGATGTTTCTGAGGAACGATCATCTGTAGATGCTTTATCTGAATCGATATCTGTTTTAATTTTTGAATCTATTAGCGAACAAATTTCAGGTATAACCGAGCAACATGATAATTTGAATTTTGATTTGTCAGATTGAAATTTTAATTCTAACGATGATTGATCTTTTGTTAATTCTTCTTTTGATTCGGCATATTGCTTAAATTTTTTTTCATTTTCTTTAAAATAAAATGAAAATGGTCTTTTATATTGATTCAATAAAGTTTTAGATGAATCATTTACCGAAACATGTAGATCATTTCGAATATTTGAACTTTCTGATTTTTTATTAATAGTTTCATTATAACTTTGAGAAACAATATCTTGAAAATTTGGACGTTTAATTGTTGTTTCTATTATAGTCTGTATTATTGAGGGAGATTTTTTTTCGCATTCGTACGGATATAAATATCGTTCATATCTGAAATAATATAATATGATAAATAAAATAAAGGAACAAAAAAAATATATATACGAGAAGAAAAATAAAATAAGGAAATATGTTCTTTAGCATTTTTAATATTCCCTTAATTTTATCCCGAGTTTAATATTTTATATTTATTAATAATTAATGAGAGAGCTTATATATGTCACCTTAAGAAATGAGTAACACATTTTAAATAGGAATAACTTACAGCTGTTTTAATTGACTCGGTGCATATATGGATCTACAAGGTGTTCCTAAAGTTGACAATATATTCTTCCAAAGATTATTTTCCGTAACTTCGGTATAACCACCTCGAGCGATAACTTGTCTATACAATAAATAAAAATCTAATCGTGTTATACCATACATTGGTATTTCGAGGATCGGTGTTCCTAAAAGAAAATAATGATCAAAAAAAAAAAATGGAATGAAAACTTTCAACTTTAATGTAATTATATTATTATACTTACCCCTTAATCTCATATATGCAAATAGTTCATCAGCAAAATAGGATCGTTTGAGGGAAGATCCCATATTCTTTATCTCCATCTAGAAAAGACAAATTGTCATTAATCAAATTAATTAATATTTCTATAAATAAATATATGAGATAATTTTTTGTAAACCCAGTTAACCATATTAATAAAATCAAACGAGAATAATTGTTCGAAATATTTTACTCTTAATCGCGTATATTTAAATTTTCAATTATATTATTCGTTTCTTCTAAACGCGCGTGATGTTTACATGGCTTTTTTTTTTTTCTTTTTCTAAATTTATCCTTTCGAGATCATGTATAAACTCGTATTCATTTTGAGTTCTATTTGCTTCGTAATATATATATACGTTAAGATAAATGTATGTGGTATTGTTATGAGGACAAAGTATCCTTTCAAAAATAAACAAAATAAAATGGATTGTTAACCCGTTCGGATAAACAAAAACCGTGTGCTGTTGATCAGAATGAAACAAAAAAATAGAAGAAAAAATCCATTCTTACCTTAGCAATATATGATTTTCTGATTTCGTTTTGTAATTGAATTTCTTCCGTTGATTCCTTTTCCTTATTTTCAGAATTTATAATTACTAATTGACTTTGATCAGATTTTTCATTCAAATTATTAAGATTTTTAACGTTTTCATTTTCAACATCTAGCGTTTGCAATTTTGGTAGATTTCCCTTTTCTGCGGATTGATCATTTTTCATTTGTAAATTAATTTTGTCGTTAATCTTTATTTGTAAATATTTGTACATTATTTTTTCGATCAATTTAGAAACCATTTTTGGTAAATGATTTATAATATCGTTTAGAGATATCTCGTTATTTGCATTATTGATTAACAATATGACTTCATCTGTCATATTTTCTTTTAATTCTTTAGCTATTTCTTCGCTAGTTGTTTTATCAAAGATCGAAAGAAGACGTATATTAACAGATTCATGAACTAATCGATTCCATTCTATTTGCGATGCTTTTAAATAGTCAAATACCATATCTATAGTATTTTCCTTTTCATTAGATTCTTGATTATATGATATATTATCTAGCATTTTCTTCAATTCATTTGTGTCAGATTGAACATTAGACTTCTGTTTTATATTGCATTTTTCACTTTCTTCATTTTTATTCATCGTAGCAGAATTTTCTTCTTTCATCATAAAATTTTTCTCAGATAATAATTCGTACAAATTATTTTCTATCGTGACAGTTACTTTTTTTGACGAATTTTTATCACATTTTTTTATTTGAAATTCTTTATTTTCTACATTAATCGATTTAATATCACCATTTTCTTGATTGTAAGAATCTGTTGATGTCCCACTACTAGTCGTTGTACTTTCAGAAGAACTTCGTCCAATACCTGAATCTTCTGTATCACTATTATTAGTTTTTAACATTGTGATTAGATGTACGGGAATCTGTTTTAATCAAATATCGGTTATCTCTATCTAATTGCCAATTAAGCAACACGAAAAATAATAAAATATTCAAAAACACACACAGAATCAGAATTGCAAGTTAATTTTACACACACTAATACGAGTTTAAAATAATTTGAATAGAAATGATTCGAATGTTGTTATTTTTTGTTTGCTCTGCTTTAACTGAAAGATATATAAAAGTTTTCTTAATTAATTGATAAATTATAAAATATGTGTTCTTTTTCTAATAATTTCACACCGGAGTTAAACTCATGTACGCACAGTATTATAGTTCACTCTTAGATCCACTCACGTATAGCATAACTTTCTTTCTGCTAGGAAAGTAAGCACAAAAGGAAGTCTAGGATACGATGGTGGAAATATTATATACTAGAAAATAAAAGGAAGTCTGGGAAGATTTGGGAAACTTTAGACGAATGTGATAGGGGATTTTGTTTTCGACGTTAGAACCTTTGAGATTCTTCGAGAAAGTTTAGGATAATAAAGTTATACTTACGGTTCGTAAAATCAAATCGTCGGAAAGAAATATGCATGATTTTAAATAAAATCTTATTATTTTTTTTATGTTTATTTTCGTAACAAATAATACTTACTCGATTCGTATTAATATCAGCCGAATTATTAATCTTTCATTTAGATTTTTTATTATAAAAATATCTGATAAATAATATATAAAATACTTTTATTATTATCGACAGTCGTCTTGTTACTGACAGTCGTTTTATTACTGACAGTCGTCTTATTACTGACAGTCGTCTTATTACTGACAGTCGTCTTATTATTGACAGTCGTCTTGTTACTGAAAGTCGGTCTTGTTACTGACAGTAAACTTTCTTACCGACCGATGATTTTATGATTTGTATCAGTATTGCAGATATCTAAGTAATATAAAATAAAACGTATAATTTATTATAATTAACATTACATAATTAAATTCATCACTCATATATAACACACACAGTGACAATTAAAAATGATAAAAATCGACGTAAACAGAAATACAGAATTAGGTATTGAAAATGACAATTAAAAAAAAAATGGTAGATTAAGGTATATATGTTTTATATTTGTATATCTCGAAAATACAAATTATTCAAAGAAATGTGTGAACAAGATTTAAATATATATATATATATATATATATATATTTTTTTTTTGTAGAATATTTAAAAATAAAAATTTACTTAACTATATAATATATACAGAGAATGTTTCGTAATATGTTGGGAGCAAATTTAGGAGCGGACAGAAGACACACAAAACAATAAAAAAAAATTTACAAACAAGTGTCCTATATTTTTAGTTTCAAATTTAAAGTAACATTTGTTTCCCAATAATATCTGATAGTTCATATTCATTTGCAAAATACAGTAATACTTTTTAGAAATACGAACAACAGAGAATAATCATTTTGATCTTTTATAAAAATAGGATTACGCGTCTATGTGAAATTTTGTTACTGTTTTTGTATCTCCTTTTTTTCACTCCACATATTACGAAAATACATTATACATTTATAATACATAACGCAACATATCGTTCGTTTTTATTAAATATAATCGATAATGAAAATGATCGTGTGTGCAGAAAAATGTGATAAATATATGATTAGCATTAATATTATTATTATTAACTATTGCCATTATTGAATTTTATTTATTTATTCATTTATAATAATATCTCGATGTCAAATAGTTAAATTTCAATTTTTAAAAAGTTCACTACGTATCTATACTTATGAATAAACTTACGATAATTATACGATCTGTATTGATATAACATTTTAAGGAAATTTGATAGAAGGTGGGAAATAAAATTATAAAAAATACAAAAAAGATAGGACAAAATAATAATCAAGTACAGATATATAAAAAATAAGATAAGATAAGAGATGAGATATAAGAAGAAAAAGAATTCGTGTAAAAAAAAAAGTTGAGATAGGAAATAATATAAAGAAACATTTTATTCAACATTAAACAACAAAAAATTGATATGATAATCGAAGTTACGTTAATTACATTTATTTGTTTGTTTTTTTTCCTTTTCATTTTTTTTTTTTAATATATATATATATACGGTGGTTGTTGTATATATTCGCTCTCACCGACGTTGCTTTAGTTTTTTTTTCTTTTTCTTTTTCCATTTTTCATTACAAAATAATAGAGTGTTAAAGTTCACGAAGTGTAGTAGTAGTAGAATTTTTTTTTTCTTTTTTTAATAATGACCGTCTTGAATAGGACTCGATGGTAAACGATGTCACGTTGGTTGCTTATTTCCATATTGACTGCTATTATTTTTTTATCGTCAATTATTTCGTCACCTAGGGTAGAACAAAATTATAAAAATGATATTGAGAATTTGTAAATGAATCATGGTGTTTGTTTCTTTTCTTTCTTTTTTTTTTTTTTTTATAACACATACATAAATTGTATTGCGTGTAAGAGAACAAGCGAGACACCATATTTTGTGAAAATATGTTTCACAAAATTTTATAAATGAAAATGACAGAGATAGAATATTACAATTATATGAATTATTTTGATTATTTTAAAAGGTGTACACAATTGGTTCTTAGAGAAAAGGGTTTCACATGTTCTGTTACACCCTGTATTTACATATACATAGATTTTATATATATATGTATGAAATATATTCTAAATAAATATAGATTTAAATTGAATTAAATATGTAAAAACATGCATAAAAATAATTAAAAGGAAAAGAATAAAGTAGAATCAAATGTTTTCATTCAGAAGTTCGACACAAAATTGCTATTTCGGAAATTATGTTTTTTTTACTATTTTAATTTTTGTCACCTTAGGTTTTGTTATTTCTCAGTATATTTTTTTAAATAAAGAACAGAATACAAAAATATTTTTTAAGTTTTTATTACAAAAACTTGATTTACAAAAAAAAAAAAGAATTATTATGTAATATGCTTGCAAACATGTATTTATATGTATACACACATATATCAATAGATATGGGTGTATTTTATCATAATAATTATTATTTAATTAATGTTATGTGTGATTATT